CCCCGGATGACGACATCGTTCCAAGTTATCCTCAAAGCCAAAGCTGATGGCCCAGCGCCGCATCCCGTACCACCTAATTCACGGTCCAAACAGGATACGCTTAGAGCTTTGGTGATTGCTCAATACACGACGGAGTCTTCTATGTCAAGAAGAAGGTCTACATCCCCGAATCAGGCACCCTGCGCACCCGGATCATCGAACGCGTACACCGATCCTATTGCGGTGGCCATAGCGGCAAACACGGTAGCTACGACATGTTAAACCGCTGGTACTACTGGCCGAAGATGATAAATGATGTAGCACAGTACGTCAAGAACTGTTTGGCCTGTCGGAGATCGAAATCTTACCGCGATGGGAGACACGGGCTCCTACATCCACTCCCGATACCTGAGCGATATTGGAGTAGCATCAGCATGGACTATATCACGCACCTGCCTCCTTGCACCGATAACGGCCGCACATATACCAACGTCTTAGTGATTGTTGATCGGCTTAGCAAGAAGAAGAAGTTTATACCTGTGGTGGACCTAAAGGTTGATACCCTTGTGAAAGCCTTCGTCGAGTACGTGTGGCGTGAGGAGGGATATCCCGACAGCATCGTCAGCGACCGTGGAGCCCAGTTCCTCTCCCATTTCTGGACACGTCTTTGTCAACGACTGGGTACCAAGCCAAAGTTGTCAACGGGCTATCACCCAGAAACCGATGGGCAGACGGAGAACGCCAACGCTTGGCTAAAACAATACCTCCGGTCATATATTAACTACGAGCAAGACAACTGGGCTCTCTTTCTTCCTATGGCAGAGTTCGAAGCTAACAACGCCATCAACGCTAGTACTGGGACTACCGCTTTCCGCCTCACTAAGGGCTATGACCCGAAGTCTGGTCTTGAACCACCTAAGGTGAACACTGGTCTCACTGCCCCAGCTCGCAGAGATCAAGACAACGCCAACAAGTTTGCAGAAAAGCTAGACGCGCTACGCAAAGCCCTTCGGCTCGAACTACAATGGTCACAAGCTAAACAGGCGGAATACGCAAACGACGCCCGGCTCCCAGCGCCTGAGTTTAAGGTCGGCGATCAAGTTATGTTGGACGCCCGTAACTTCCGTACTACACGTCCTAGTCTATCACTTGACTTCAAGAACCGCGGTCCCTTCACTGTCACACGCGTCATTGACAATATGGCTTACGAACTACTCCTGCCTCCAGAGATGGGCAAGCTCCACAACGTCTTCCACCCGTGGTTACTACACTTACACGAGGAGGCTCCGCTGCCTGGTCAACTGCGCGATTCCGCACCAGCTGAGTTCGCCGATCCCGACGAGGAAGATGGTACAAGCTATGAAGTGGAAGCCGTCCTAGACTCCCGCGTCAACAAGAGACTTAAAGACCCCTACTCTCGCAGCGGTCTTCTCCAATACTTAGTGCGATGGACCAACTACCCCGCCGGCACCGACAACCCATCTTGGGAACCATACATGAACCTGGTGGACTCCGCAGACATTGTCCAACAGTACCATGAGTCCCGCCCTAAAGCTCCAGGACCACATCGAAAGTTTGCGACGCTCGCAGGCAAACAGGATTTACTTATGATTACAGTGATCGCATCCTCTAACAATCCTAAGCCTCTACCAGGAGCCCCGACGATACAGCAGACGGAGGAGACTATTGGCCCGCGTAGCTTTCGCAATACCGGCAACATTGCTGTTTAGGCTTACAGAAGCTTTTGCAAAGCAAGCTAGACAACTCTTTTTAATTACTTTAAGCGACGGAACCTGCTTTTTTTTGAAGGGGGGGTAGTGTGATGGATCAAACCTACGATCCCTCACGCGATCACGTGCCATACAATCACGTGCCACGCTGGCAGTTGGCCCGTGCGAGGAATAATAAAGTTCCCCTCGTACTTGTATATAGATCTGTACACACAATCTCACTTATTAGAGGCATCCTAACTATTGCAGTGTACTAGTGCCTTTACAGGGTTAGTTACTAGCATCTGGACTAGTCAGTGTATGCGTCGCGAACCTAGTCTATTTCGCTCTAAAGCTTGTAAGATATGTTAGATTTTGTTCAATGGAATAAACATTGAAAACTGCATGACTACATGTTAAATTGGTAACCGCTATAACAGTATCATGAAAATCATCAACCCTACAATTCACCTGATAAACATCAACTCTAAGAATCCATAGTAAACTCCGACCTCTGCCTCCACTTCTCCCCGAACTTAAGTATCATGACCGGAATAACCGCCAGCCCCAAACTCAACGCCCCCAAACAGCTAAACCCCCACCCGTAACCCAACCTCTCCGCCAACGGCGCCGTCGTCAGCGGCAAAAAAGTGCCCACAAGACACCTCGTCACAATAACGCCCGTCATAGCCGACGCAGAGTACATGCCACAAGCATCGACCACATACGCGCTCAACGGGACCACGGTCAACAACAGGGTAAACCCCATGAGCGCCACTGACGCCAGCAGCAAGAGGACGGGGAGACGGTACTCTGCAATCCAGCCGTAGGCTGTGACGGAAAAGGGGAGTAAGATGCCGCCGATGATGGAGAGGGGGAGACGGTATTCTGGTTTTCCTGTTCCGGAAGGGTTGCGGTTGCGGAGGTGGATGTAGATGCGGTCGAGGGTGAAATTGCAGACGAGGACACTGAGGAAGGAGCCGATGCCTAGTAAAGTGTTGTTAGTTTGATAGTGGTAGGGAGGGGAAGGAAAGAAAACTTACTAAAAGAAACAAACGATGACCCCGTTAACGCAAGTTCAAACCCGTAGTTCTCAACTAGTATCCCAGGTAACGACACACTGATGACGTAAAAGTAGCTAAACGCCACCGACGCAAAGAGCGAAAGTAGCATGAGAACATTTGATCCAAAAAGCACTGCAAATGGCCTCGTGATGGAATGCCAAAGCCTCTTCGCACCAGCATGAGCGCTCTTAGGTTCATGCGTACTGTCGACCCTCTCATCCTCTCTCCTCCTCAAAATCGCCATCTTGTACGTCTCACGGAAGAAGAGCAGGAACAAGACCTCGCAAAACACCGCCAGTCCAGCGGCAATAACTAAAATCTGCCTCCACCCCATCGTCTGCGCAATCGCCCCTGAAATCGCCGGGCCAATCGCGCCTCCAATTAGCGGCGCCAGCATGATAAGACTCATGGCTGAACCCCTCTGCTCGCTGGAAAAGATATCCCCGATAATAGCGGGATTGAGCACGTTGGATGCAACGCACAGCCCCGTTAGCATGCGCGCGGCAATGAAAACGGTGCTAGATTGACTGGCTGCTGCGAGGATGGTGGCGGCGATGAAACCAAAGTTACAAAAATGCATGACGGGGCGGCGGCCGAAGATTTCTGATAATGGTGCTATGAGGAGGGGACCCGCTGCTTCGCCTAGTTCCCAGATTGTGACGAGCAGGGCGCTGTTGGTTGAGGACATGGAATGTCCGTTGTCGAGGTCGCGGACAATTGTGCTGGCGACAGGGACGACGCCTATGCATGTGAATGTTCTGATGTGTGCGTTAGTAAGGGAGCCAATGTTAACTTTCATTCTCGTGGTGGTTCATATTTGCAGGTTCGAAGGTATTCTATATGAGACTGCACTTACACTGTAAATGCCATCAGCGCAAGTAACAAAACAATACCCCATTTAAATCCCCAGCTCCAATTCTTAGGATCCTCAGGGTCCAAAGGTTCGAAATCGAGCAAGTCATTTGGATCCGCGGGGTCGCCGTTGGGCTGCTCCTGGTTGCTGCTGGTATCGAGATCATGGGATATGATCCGGAGCAGAGGTTGTTCTTCGTCTGTAAAAACCATTGTGACGATCTCTTTCTCTTACTCCCTGTCTTTCTACCTAAGTATGCTGATGCCGCTCCGAGGAACGGGAGAAACACACACACACAAGGACGTGTGGGGTTGAATGTCTAACGGCAATGCACGAGGTAACTTTTTTTCTCCAGCGCGGCTCAACAGTTGGTGTGGAGACGGCGGCTAGTTGACTAAGCCACCGCCCCGCAAGTATCTTTTTGGTATGGGTGGAGAGTTTTTTTCTTGCCTAGGTGGTTAGCGTGGGGAGAATGCCGCTATGCTGCATGCAGATGTCCGTTCCTACTTGGGTAGGTAGGCACATGTACCTAAATATTCTACCTTCCATTGATGGAACATGCACATTAGAAGTGAACAACGTCATTAAAGGATCTAGACCTGTTCGTAACCAAACGGGGTCTATTAGCGTACATGTTGAACTTGATCGGGCCTACTATCGCCAGGATATTGCTACCGGCTGGTCTAGAGATGATCTGGGTGAAAAGGTAGCCAAGTAGAAGACGCATTATGAGAGCCACAGGAAGAGATGATCTAGACAAAAATATCTGTGTGGACGGCAGATCTTCCATGGTATTGAAAGTGCCGGGAACAGGGTTGGGAAAGACCAGAGAGGGCAGTCACTGATTATGCGCCGGAAGTATCAGATTAACCATATGGAAGGAGCTTCATTGGGTTTTCTCAACTTGAAATGGTAGTACTCGGAGGGACAGGATCTGGTGAGGCTTGGTGTTAACCATGTCGTTCCATAGTCGTCTTCACCTGTTCATCTCAAAGCTTTAAACCCATACTCCGACCAAGGCAAGTTCAACACTTCTAAGCGCTTTGAGCAAACTGAGAACCCAGTTAAGTCGAGAATGCGCATGTCGAGTGAGATTCGATGTTGGGATTGTAAGAAGTTTGGAGTGGAGTCCGGCGGGGATGTCTGCAAAGCGCGCTAAACGTAACCCGAGCCACTTTACGCGGTCGCGTTCGGTCCTGAACGCGGTGCACTTCCGAATCGCAAACAACCGCCACACTCTATAACAATGGCCGCAAATCAACGAATGCGCGCTCGCCAGGCTCGTATGTATTTTGTGATACTGCTGTGGATTTGCAAAGGCTAATTGGACTCCTCAGATGCCCCTGGCCCAACTTATCTCGCATACACACCGGACGGAAAGAAACTCGTAACAGCCGGAGTCGATGACTACTGCCGTGTGTTCACCACTGGCTCTGATGATGAGCCAGTCACCATAGATGATTGCCAAGAGAATAACACGGCGGTTGTCGCTGGTGTATGTACATTACTCACAACGAGTCTATGGCGCAACGCTGACCATCAGCGTAGAATGATTTCTTCATTACGGGCTCAGAGGATGGCACAGTGAGCCGGTTTTCGCTTGAAAGTGCTAAATTCGAAGAAATACTAGTCCGGACTACGCTTCCAGTGCGAGATGTGGCCCTCAGTTCAGATGGGAAGTGGGTTGCTGTTGGAAGCGAGTACGTCTATGATTCTAGTATGTCGTCCCGATTACTAACAAGCACAGTGAACTCTCTGTAAATCTCGTGAATACCAAAGATAAAAGCATGCGGACGCTGCGCGACCAGCCCCGAGCAGTGAAACACGTATCCTTCGACAAGACTGACAACCGCCTCGCCGTATCCTGTACCGATGGCCATGTCTACATGTATACTCTGGATGGAGATCAGCCCGAGATGGACAAGAGGGTGGAAGGCATGATTAAGAGCATGGAGGCAGATTCAGAGTCGAGCTCAAAGGTGCTGTGGCATCCTGATGGACGAGCATTTGCTACACCGACTGCGATGCGACAAATACAGGTCATGTCAACGAGCGATTGGGAACGCCAACGAGTCTTCAAAACTGGACATACTGCCGATATTACAGCCGCTGCCTGGTCGCCTAACGGTGCTTTGCTGGTGACTACATCGAGCGATCTGAGTCTCAACCTGTGGGATACTAAGACACAGAAAATTCTAAAGAAGTATGAGAATGTCAAGGCGACCATACTTGCCATGGCATGGCATCCCACTGAGAATATACTTTCCTACACCAACAACGAGGGCGAACTGTTCATTCACACCGACATTGTACCCGAAGAACACATCTCCCTTCTTCAAAAAGCCACCGTCTCCGCACCCTTCTTTCATGATCCGTCAGAGGGTCGAGCCGGTGTCCCGGCACCAGCGCAGCTCACAAGCGGCAATGTACAAACTCTTCCAGGGCGGCCACGGCAAAGAAGCGGAACAGCCGACTCATTGGAGGATATTCTAGGCCCAGAATTCCAGGACGATGAAGCACAAGAAGACGGTGACGAGGAAATGAACGATTTCGTAATCGACGATGATGGCGCCGGCTATGCACCAGCCATCACTGCCGCAAAGAAACGAACCAACGGCCATCTCGCAGATGGGATACAACCAGCATCTAAACGTCGTGCATACAGCTCCGCCCTTTTTCGTCCTCAAGTTCACGAGCCTTTCCAGCCTGGAAGTACGCCCTGGCGTGGAGAACGACGATTACTGTGTTGTTCATTAACGGGGTACGTCGAGACCGTGAGCCAGGAGGGTAAACATCACACCGTGTCCGTCAAGTTTTATGACGAGCATACCTTCCGCAATTTCCACTTTACCGACATTTTCCTATACGACAAGGCATGCCTCAACGAGAATGGAACCTTGTTCGCCTGCCAACCAGACAGTACTGGAGAAGGAAACACAGCAATGATATACTATCGGCCACACGAAACGTGGACGACACGAACCGAGTGGCGGACTAATCTACCAACGGGAGAGTCTGTCACTGCAATTGCGCTGTCCGACTCCTATGTCTGTGTCACAACATCAACCAACTACGTACGCATATACTCATTGTTCGGACTACCCATACGCGTCTACAGGCAGAAGAGCTCGCCGGCAGTTACGTGTGCAGCCTGGCGCGATTACATCCTCACAATAGGCAACGGGCCTATACAAAATGACCTCAGCACACAGCTTCTCTACACCATTGAGAACATCAAGCACGACATCGTCTACCAGGATTCTGATATCCTCGCACTGCCACCAGGTACGACATTGACCAGCGTCTTCTTCTCAGCAGAAGGTGATCCATACATCTACGACTCGGAAGGTGTGCTATTAACCTTACTTGGCTGGAGAAATACTGGCCAAGCGCGTTGGGTGCCCATGTTAGACACCAAACTCCTTTCCCGTCTCACCGGCGGTGGAAAAGAAGAAAGCTACTGGCCCGTCGGCGTAGCATCATCCCCATCTCAAGATGGCGGAATTGGCGCAAAGTTCCACTGCATGATCATCAAGGGCCGCGAGCAATACCCCAGTGCTCCTGTCCCCCACCTCTCAGAGTTCGGCTTCGAGATCCCGCTCAGCAGCGCAATCGACAAGTCCAAGAAAGCGAAGAAGCGAGGTGGTGATCTGAGTGACATGGAAGACGAAGACGACGGCCCTACCCCTCAGACCAACGAGGACAAGCAGCAGGAACACGAACAAGCATTCATTCTCTCTTCCACTCTGCACTCGCAGCTCTCCTCAACGCTATTGCACACCCGACCCACGGCGTCTCAGAAACAGGCTCTCACTACGTTGGAGGTGGCGATTGATCGTGCTTTGCTGCAGCTACTCGGATTGGAATGTCTGGCTGGTGAGGACCACGGGATGAAGGCCCTGGAAATTGTCAGTCTAATGCGCGATGCGAATGGCAAGATGCTCGATCTGGCTGGCAAGGTGGCGTCGCGGTATGGTCGTGAGGTGTTGGGAGAGAAGATTCGCGAGTTGGCGGAGCGTAAGGCGTTGGCTAGGGAGGAGGACGAGGATGAGTTGTAGGCTTTGATATATGAGGGTGTTGTCGATTTAGGTAGATGGTGTTGCATAGCGATGGGCTTGTGGTTTAGTAGTTGGATTTGTTCGGGTTGAATCATTTTAACAATCAGGATTCAGTTGTCCTATTGCTTGTTTAATTAGGTACACATTGTAGTGAGATGTCTGTGATGTATCGGGAGCAGTTCACATGATAGCAAGCATTGATGGTAGAAATGTATGACGGCTGGGCAGGTATTTATCAGTGACAGATATCCAGGTGGAATTTTGACATCGTTATTTGGTGTACTGATGACATCTTATCTAGATAATTATATGTAGAGCACAGTCATATGTATCACATGTCAAGTCGTGCATTACCACAGATAAGATGTCTTCCTAGCAAGCCAACAGCCACCACCATTTCAAACCACACAAAACACTATCGGTCGACAAGTTCAGTGGTAGGATATTCGACGGACATGTCAAAGTTTCGATTGAGTGATCAAGGGCTATAAGCGGCTAAAAAATTAGACAAACAGTTTATCGGAACACTAGCACTCTTCTCAGGTCAAACATAAGCATAGAGCTAGATAAAGCATTCGAGTCCAAGAATGTCTATGGTCTTTAGTCTTTGTACGTACCGATGTACTGTTTTAGTTCAATGATGTGGTCAAATCTGACAGGCTATATGAACCACTCGCTCTTACCGATACGAAACTACTATGGGCTCGTCTAGAAGTTCTCTGATACCAGTCAATGACTGAACTGGGCTTACATGTGTCGCTCACATGATACTGTGACTTATTTCAGGCTCTGGATCTGCTCACTCAGCCACGGCCGAGCATTTGCGTGGCAGAATATAGCGAAGTGTCTGTAGAGGGATGTAGAAGAGCATTACACACCAGGGATGCCCGATTATTCGGAGCTTGACTAGCTATACATCAAGTTCCTTGAACTTCTCGCTGCTTCTAGAGACGATCACAACAGCGCAATATTAGGACTAGCTGCCCAACAAATTCCGCTTCCCAATAACCACCTGGAGCTCAAATAGCACGAAGCAGAAGGTCTTCGAATTATGAGACACAAAGACGAGACATCAGAGATACGAAAGCAAATTCGAAAGGAACTGGAAAGATCTCCATAAGAATACTCTAGGAATTTGCCTCCGGTTGCTGAGAGCATCAAAGGAAATTGAACCAACAGCTTAGGTCAGCGCTAGCAAGTTGAAAGCTTGATGCAGATTTCGGCGAACAGCACAAGAGTAGAGGGGGGATGTTATAAACTATCCAGCTCCTTAGGGCCGATTGAGCTAACTATACGTGGAATACAGATGCCGGTGTTGGCGTCCGTTTGAGGCGCTTGTATCCGGCGGTGGGAGCTAGAGTGTAGTCAACTTTGGAAAGAGATTCTAGTACAAGGTGGCCACGGTGTCTGATAACAGTGATTAAGGCTGAGGCAAGGATTCGGATTGATAGTCTGCTCAATCGATCAAGTATGACCCGGTGACATGGCAAGCGGGTACCGACATATGCGCAACGTCTGGATGGAGATGCATCCTGGCTCCATCCACCTGCTGATCTTGATACTGGGGTTCCCTCGCGGCGCTTCCTCTATCCCGCCCGCCTACAACACGACCTTGACGCTATTCGTGTAATTCCTCTTCGACCTCCCATGTCCCCTCACGCTTTCATAGACTTGACTCGAAGCCATAGCACCAATCCTAAATATAGTCTTCCAAGTGCACATCTAGTTATTGGATTGAAGTGCGCATAACGTCATGTTCTCCTTCATTGACGCCCTAGCACTACTAGTCTCTGTCCACGCGAACATGACGGAGCTGTAAATCCGGGGTTAGCAGACAGTAGTTCTAAAAAGTGTACCAGTTTTTCGGATCACATAACCGCGCTTCATCGAGACAGCCGCCGGCTACTCATCCTACATGCCAACTTCCCCGGTCACCAATCAAATCCCATCTCCCAGGAATTAATAAACACCAGAATGTGATGAGGCTTTCTCCGGAGAAGGGCAGACGCAGAACACGAGCGCCTATCGTGTTACAGTCTGTGCATCATGCAACCTAATCAATTGGCACACTGCCGTTGTTCGCTTAAACCGGCTGTACCTCTTCTCAAGTCACGTTCTCGAATGATATACGGGGAGGTGTGGGTCGGCTTGGCAGACGAATAATATTATTTCGGGAGGGCTGAGAAAGTGCGATATTGCTCCCACGGAAGATTTGTAAGTAGCCTGAAATGTTGGAACAAGTGCTTCTCTGTGCGCTGACGCCAGCGAGGCTAATCAGCTCAGGCGTGCAGTTGGTGAAAAGCTTCGCATCAGTAGCGTCTCCTTTATTTTTGTCTTGGTTGCACCGCTGGGAAAAAAGTACGGTTCAACTGCCATCTGTCATGTGTCATCTCGGCCTTGCGACGTTTTTCTCACGTGCCTGGAAGAAAAGGCGCCGGTGTGGGAACGGGTGAGAACGACCGTTTATGGCCGAGAAGCAGCAAGGATCCGACATGTTGAATATTAAGCATTATATCTCCTGGGCCCTTGATTTGCGTGTTCTTGGCTTCTCATGTCCCAATAGCTTGCTCCCGTGTCTTGTCAAGCTTTCAGGCGTGTCGTGGTGTGCCCATCCCCCAATGTTCGTCTCCAGGTTTTGCTGAGTTTGCAGCCAGCGCTAGCCCGTCTGGGGAAGCACTAAACTCTTCTACGCAATCCGCCCGCCGGCGCCTGGCAGCGATGCGCAATCGAGGAAGAAGGTATCCCCGCTATTCCACCATGTTTCGGTGCATTATTCAACCGGGGGCTTATCACCAACCGGTAACGTGGAGAGCGGTGGAGAGGTCTCCGGGGACACCTGGGGCTCCAGCCTCGGCGGGCCGGGTAAATTGAGCAGATGGCGTGCGGGGATGCTTGGTGTCGGACCAAGCTTTGTGTCGGCGGCCCTGGTTGGCTGCTGTGCCGCGATATAGAGCCTGAAGCTAGCACGGGACAGCCATCTACAAGACGCCACCAACCTTTCTGGTGGGATGGCCGCTGCTAGCGAGAGTCTCGTCCAGCAGGCGTACACGAAAAGACGATCGTGTCCGTCTCCATTTACACGGCTTGGACCCGCACCAAGGCCATCGTGACAGCGCGGGGCGCTGATTGATGGAATTCTCGTCACTGCACATGCGCCTCTTCCACGAGTGAAGGTGAGAGAGCGAGTGGTCAGGCCCGTTGCCGCTGGGCCCTTTATAAGACCCTGGCCTTGGCCGGTCGACATTTATCGTTGCTTCTCTTTCGTTGTCAACCTTCCTCTTCCTATACCGATACGTTTTGGTGTGCTCAAAGACCTACAGCTGTCAGTATGGCTGATCATGTCAACAACGACGCCTATGGCGACTCGACAATTACCGAGAAGGGTGTCTCAACCCAGGTCGAGGACGCCATCATGGACGAGAAGGCCCTCAAAGCACACAACAAGGCTGCCGCTGTAGAGGCTGAGAATGCCGAACACGACATGGGCGTCCTGGACGCTGTCAAGGCCTACCCCATGGCTGCGACGTGGGCTTTCATCATGTCCTGCACAATTGTAAGTCGCAACTCTTCTGTTTCCCGCCTAACTTTCCCTAATGAGGAATCGCCGCTAATCTTATCTCAAGATCATGGAGTCATACTGTGTGTTCCTCATGGGTAACTTCATCGCCCTGCCTGCCTTCGCAAGGGAGTTTGGTGTCCAAGCCGACAATGGCAAATATGTCATTGTCGCCAGCTGGCAGTCTGCACTCCAGATGGGCGGTCCTCTTGGTGCTATCATGGGTGTCTGTCTCGCTGGTCCCCTCACCAGCCGAATTGGATACCGATGGGCCACCATCTTCGGCCTCATGCTCTTGAACGTCTTCATCCTGGTTTTCTACTTCGCTCCTTCGCTACCCGTCATGTTCGTGTCGCAACTTCTTGAGGGTATCCCATGGGGTATCTTCATTGCCAACGCGCCCGCGTACTGCAGTGAGATTACGCCTATCCAGCTGCGAGCTCCCGCCACTCAGATGTTGCAAATGTTCTGGGCTATTGGTGCCATCATCGTCAACGGTGTAGCTTTCCACTACAACACCTACTCCACCTCGAGCGCATACAGGTACGTATTCGAGACCACCCAAAAATGTTTATTTTGCTGATCAAACGTGCAGGATCCCAATTGCGCTCCAGTGGATGTTCCCCACCCCTCTTGCTATCCTCATCTACATGGCGCCAGAGTCTCCCTGGTGGCTCGTCCGCAAGGGCCGTCTCCAAGAGGCCGAACACGCCGTTGGACGTCTTGGACGCCGCGCCCGCTTGAACGTCACTGAGGCCGTAGCCATGATGCGCCGTACCATCGATCTTGAGAAGTCCATCGAGGACCCCAGCTACTTCGAGCTGTTCCGCGGTACCGACCTTTACCGTACTCTTATCGTCTGCGGTGTTTACGCTGCACAGAACTTGACTGGTAACCTCATCGCTAACCAGGCCGTTTACTTCTTCGAACAGGCCGGTGTATCAACAAACACGGCCTTTGCTCTTGGTCTGATCACTTCCGGACTCCAGTGGCTCTTTGTTATGCTTTCCTGGATTCTGACCTCGTACCTTGGTCGCCGTACCATTTACGTCTGGGGTTCGCTCATCAACGTCGGTTTCCTCATCGCTCTCGGTATTGCTGGATCCGTTGGCAAATCGACCCAAGCCTCGTTGGCGCAAGCCTCTCTCGGTCTCATCGTCTCTGTTCTGTTCACTCTTGGTCCTGCTCCCGCTTCGTGGGTCATCATCGGAGAGACTTCGTCGATCCGTCTGCGTCCTCTCACCACTGGTATTGGACGTGCCTCATACTACGTTGTCAATATTCCCTGTATTTTCCTTGCCAGTTACATGCTCAACCCCAAGGTAAGCCTTTTTTCCCTGTCCACACCTTCAAACCGACCAGTTTTACTAACGAATATAACAGGAGGCCAACCTCGGTGGCAAGTGCGGTTATGTCTGGGGTGGAACTGGTTTCTTCTGCTTCGTCATGGCTTACTTCTTCCTGCCTGAGATGAAGAACCGATCTTACCGCGAAATCGACATCTTGTTCAACCGCAAGGTCCCGGCTCGCCAATGGACAAAGACTGTCATCGATATTCAAGACGACGAGTAGGCGGATACTTGCAGTCAGAACATGGGGTTGGACGTACACAGGGGCACATTATCATTGAGCGCCGGACGTCGTACAAGGATTGGAGATGTAGTCGGTTGACTAAATCCACACTTCATAAATCTTTTCGTGACATGAATGAAACTCTTGTCCTCTCCAACTCTTGTTCGTGTTGTCGTTCTGCGTGTTTCTACCAAGCTCTTGCCAAGATATCAAACTTTGGCGCGAAGTGTGCTAAGGATGCTAAGAATGAAGCTTACCAGCAGCCAAGTGCTGGCGAACACACCCGTCTTTCTAGTTGTTAACATTCCGAGACATCCGGACATACTAAGAAGTATACAGCAAAATAATGCGGGGTAGTCGTATAACGGTAAGTTCATACCCGACCCGAGTCATCCGCGTATAGAAAGAACAACCGTCCACTCCTGCCAATGACGACAACCACAACGACCTACAGACTACAACTTCGCCCCACCCCCGGCCATGCCACCGTCTACCGCAGCAGCAAGCAAAAACCTTCCAAAATACTGTTCTAGCTTATCCCCTGCACCCCCATCCAACGCAACAACCGTACCCACCCAACCATCCGGCCTTAAAACAGCCACAGCACCCTTCTCAATATCAACACCGTACCGTGTATGCGCACCAAGATCTTCATCATAGAAGACACGACCAAACGGCATTCCACCCAACGTCTCATACGCCGAAGAACCGCCCGGACCCGCAAAGATGGAAAGCCATGAAATCGGGACATTCTCGTCATGAAGCCAAGGCAGCAACGCCACGGCGTCTGTGAAAGATGACAACGCCAATTTTGTGCGTTTGACTTCTCCAGCGAAGATGAAGATGTAGAAGGTGGCGGTATTCGGAGTCTCGGTTTGTAAACGCGTTGATTCAAACGTCGCTGGTTTCTGCAGTGTAACATCAGGGGCGCGTTGGCCCGGCTGTACCATCGTCGCGTTTGCACTTTGGACAAAGTTGAGGTAGGCGTCTGGCTCATAGTAGATACCAAGACCACTACTAAACGTCGCTGCTTCGGCCATGACAGCGCCCAAGACCTCGTTTGGATCCGCGTTTGTGTCTCCGGTCCACCCCTCGGGTAACTGCATAGTCATGAGCCGCGAGATATCTTTGTCGTAATTGATGAGTCGTTGGACGTTGGGGAGGCGTTCGGCTTGGTATGAGTGGAGGAGATCTGGGTTAGCGAGGCCCTGGAGGACGAGTGAGAGTTTCCAGCCTAGGTTCACGGCATCGTGCATGCCGGTATTCATGCCTTGGGCGGCGCCGCTGCTGTGCGTGTGGCAGGCATCGCCGGCGAGGAAGATGCAGTCGTTTACGAAGAAGGAGCGGGCGATACGTTGGCCGACGACGTAGATGGTCCACCAGTCTACTTGTGTAAATTTTAGACTAAAAGGTTTGACGGAGGCGATGGCTTCATTTACAGCAGCTTCTTCATTGAAGTCTTTGTAGGCCTTTTGCCGTTCGGCTGTGAAGGCGAAGCCAATTCGCGTGGCGCCGTGGTCGAGAGCTGCCCATAAGACGTTTCCGTGGGTTGGCGACTCGATGGCGCAGTAGGTACGTGGTTTAGGCAAGTCAGTCTCGATGACGCCGTCGATACGCACCCATTTATCTTCGCTCGAGGAGCCGTCGAAGGGTACATTCATTGCACGTCGAATAAACGACTTTCCTCCGTCGGCGCCGACAAGATATCGGCACTTGACTATGCTCTTGACTTTGGTGTCGCTGTGTTCAATAGTTGCCAATACCCTGTAGCCACCCGGCTGAACTCCTTCAAGTACCTCGATTTCAACCAAAGTATATGGCGCATCAAGCTTGACCCCTTCTTTCGCCATAGCTCTTCTGAATATCTCTTCTTGGTATTTCTGCCTCAACACAAGCGCAAAGTCCCATTTTGTGTCTTTCATATTCTCCATGAACACCCAACCCCTGCCCGGAACTTCATTGCCATGTCTGTCGTAGTTTACAGTGTCTCGGCATGCGAAACATTGTTGTGCAAGCGCGTCTGCCAGTCCAAGCTGGTCGAGCATCTCGGAGCTACGGGGAAAGAGGGTGATGGCGCGGCCATATTGGTCTTGAGAAGATTTTGCGTATTTTTCGATTATTTTGATTCTGTATGTTGGGCGGGGGAGGTTGCGTGCGAGCTGGTAGGCGGTTATGAGACCTGGGAAGACATGTTAGACGTAGTGTTGTGGAAGATGCATCTATGAGGGTATCGTACCAACCGGCCCTCCACCTACTACTAGAACATCAACCTGTTCTATGGGTAACTCCGTGGTTGTCATTTTATTTTTAATCAACCAAATTTGGGCTTTGGAGTACTAAGAGTTGTTCAAGACGCAAGTGTTCCCATCTCAACGGGCATCGGTCTGCTTCCGTGCCGCCACGCGACATGCAAGACGGCAAGGACCTATCAAGCCAGTGATAAGACTACATCGATATTTTTGCATCGTCTTAGTCATGGCATAAATTGCAATAGTATGGTGGAAATGGCCGCATAGCAGATGCTATGAAGGGAAGGACGCAAGAATGGGGAAGTATGTTTGGGGTGGCGATAACGATAAGGAGTGGGCCGAGGCACGCCTGATCCTACAGAGTACTCCACAAAGCTCCAAGTGTAGTCGTCGATCAATATACCTGTGTATTCAAACTCAAAAAGACTCTTCCGTTACAGATTCATGCGAGATTAATAGAGTTTCGAAACGATATGGTTGAAGCCTTCCAAGGTTATGTAAGTCTACCTGGTCTTTATAGCGGCAACACCCACTCCCCCTCCTTCATTGGTTTCGCAAGACTACTAGTATCCCTCTTCGTAAACCTTCCATACCCCTTCTCACCCAACAAACCCCCATTCTCCCTATCCCAAACCACCTTTCCCCTCAACACCGTATACCTCGGCCACTGCTTCATCCTCCTGCCCTCAAAAGGCGTATAGTCAACATCATGATGCAACATATCATTCGTTAGATCAAACTCCTCCATCTTGCCTTCGGGATACCAAATATTGATATCAGCATCAGACTCGCCCTCCACCAACGCACCCTTTGTGGGGTGGAGACCGTAAAGTTTCGCCGGGTTAGCAGATGTGACCTCAACAAACTTTGTAAGCTTCAAGCGGTTTGCGCTGAGTGTGAGGGAAAGACGCGTTTCAATCCCAGGACAGCCGTTGGGAATATATTTGAAGTGACCAAGTGGGTATTCAGCAGAGATACTGCTCTTCTTTCCTAGCTCTGGGTCGTCGTAGCGGAAAGGACAGTGGTCTGAGGAGAGGATTGTAAAAGTCCCGTTTTCCAGTCCTTCCCAGATGATGTCACAGTCGGCTTCACTTTCGCGGGGTGGAGGCGAGCAGACGCATTTTGCGCCTTCGAAACCGGGTTGGTCGAGGTCTTGCTTTGTGAGGAAGAGGTATTGCGGGCATGTCTCTGCGTAAATGGGTAAACCGCGGTCTTGAGCTGCTTTAATATGGGCGGCTGCGGCTGGTGTGGAGACATGGACAATAAGGATTGGTGTGTCCATGAATTCGGATAGGCTGATGGCGCGATATGTAGCTTCTGTCTCTGCCATGGGTGGATGAGATGAGCCGTGGTATTTTGGTGCGAACAGTTTCTTCTTCTCGAGTTGCGCAGTCATCCAGTCGATTACTTGGCCATTCTCGGCGTGGATCATGGTGGTTATGCCTTGTTTCCGCGCTTCGAGGAGTATGTCCAGGATCTGCCCATCGTGCAGTTGGAGGGCCTCATAGGTCATGTAAATCTTCAATGAAGATATACCTTCTTCACGGAGAGTCTTGAACTCTGACAGGGCTTTCTCGGAAGGATTACCGACTATGATGTGAAAAGAGTAGTCGATGTAGCAGTTTCCCTTTGCTCGTTCGTGTGTTGCGGCCAGCGTATCAAGTAGCGTGTCTTCGGTCTTTTTCTGAGGCGCAAACGTTACCATTGTGGTAGTACCTCCACATACTGCTGACCGACTGCCAGTTTCGTAGTTGTCTGCTGTTGAGCCTTTACCGAACAACGGAGGTTCTTGGAGATGGACATGGGCATCCACTCCACCTGGCATCACATAGCCACCTTCAGCATCTATCGTCTTCGCTGCCTTTGCATCCTTCAAATCTCCTCTTGGAACGACCTTTGCAATCTTCTCATCTTTGACTGCGATATCCCACTCTTGAACCTCGGTCTCGGACACGACAACGCCATTGATGATGATCAGGTCATACTCCATTGCCATTGCACCTTAGCCTTTTCCCAGCACCGTAAATGTGGACTGAAGAAACCTCGCGTCTTTTGCAATGACTCTACGATGCATGTTGGCGGTTATCGTGGTAGAAGAAGGAAGCTAGACCCTAATTGTGAGGTGCGTATCTTGACCCCTCTTTCGCGTCTTGCCCCACGCTTCATACTCTCTTCGTCCTCGCCATCTTATCGCAACAAAGCCTAGCCGCAAAAGACCTGCATCTGTGACAGATCAAACTGTCCTGTACAGTCATAAGCTGCTGTCATATTCAATGAAGACGCGTTTCCCGACGGCCACGCGTTAGACGCAGGAACAACTTTAGCTCCATATGCCTGTGACCTACTCTCATCCCCAAGTTTAACATCCAAAATTTGATAAAACAATCACAATGGCTTCTGAATTGCTCAAAATCAATGGGGAGAGGTTGAATAATACCTTACAAGATACCTGCACGCAATATGGCGCTCTCGCCGCCCCATCAACAGGCATGTGCCGCCTCACCCTAACACAAGAAGACAAAGACGTTCGAGACTGGCTGGTCTCAGAATGCAAAAGCCTAGGCTGTGAGATCAAAATCGACCAAATAGGAAACATATTCGCCATACGGCCGGGCACAGCAAAAGACAAGAAACCAATCGCGATGGGCAGTCATATGGACACCCAGCCAGCTGGCGGACGGTACATACACATAAACATCCAAGTATACACGTTTGACTAAATACATAAAGCTACGACGGCATCCTCGGTGTCCAAGCCGCCTTAGAAGTCCTCCGCACCCTCCACGCCACTCAAACACGCACCCACTCCCCCCT